AGGTGCCATCTGCAGGGTGTATGGTGCCTATGACAAGAACAGTTACAGCAGAAATCCATTTCATCACTTACATAGTTATTAATCATTTTAAACTAAAATCTTTTCAACCCTCAGGAAGTTTGTGGAATCCAGATATAGCTGTTTGTAAAATAGAGACAGAATTAGAAGTCAATTTTACAATCAGCAGTCTTGGGCTTGAATATTTAATACTGCTTTATAAGCATCAAAAGTATGAAGTACTTCTTGAAAAAAATATGGAAGCAAAGGTTATTTTCTGTTAAATCACAATAAATTGAAGGGCATAGTTCTCTAAGTTGTCTTTCTGTGTTAGCACAGCAGGAAGTATATGCTTCCACGGAAGTCAAATGAGCAGAGCTGGCCAGCACACACTGAGGACATGGTCTAAAAGAACTGTGGTTGCTTTCAGAAGAGTTCTGCTCCACTGTTACAATATGTTATTTTAGTTTTTGAGATTACACTCTTTAAGAATGTTTTTAAACAATACTATTTTGTTCAGAATGAGATTAATCAATGAACATGAAAACATAAGAAAATACATAGTAACTAGTTAATTAGGCTTCACTAACATGAAACGCACCTTGCTTGTAATTCCTACTAAGATATTCACCCTGTTTTGTTGTATTAGACTAGTAGGTTTAAAGATAAATATATGCACTATCTATAATTCTGATGTTAAGAATATATAATAGTTTTCCAGCCTATTAAATGCTATTTGAAATGCAATTAAATATTAAATATGATTTAATTTAGTAATGACTCCTTTTGTGAAAAATGTTTGACTTTTCCCCCCTCCCCCTCTTCTTCAGGATTTCATTTAATTATTAAGATAAATGAAACTAGAATTTCTGTGAGGATACCAGGGACTGATGAGAGCCCTGGCATTTTTATATAGGTAACTTTTTTTTTTATTTATTTTCAGTGAAAAGAGTATTTGCTTTTATATAATTAATGTGAAGAGTTTTATGATTTCTGACTAACAAACAAGGCACAAGCATAGCACTGTATATCACAATTTTTTTCTTACTAAATTTTTTTTTTTTACTTACAAATTGGTAGATATTAAGCCTCTTCTCATGGAGCTAATGTAAGTCTCTATTGTTCTGTAGAGTGTCTCTGTGCTATAAAGCTTAAAGCAAACATAACTGGTATGTTTACACTGAATTTTCTTAGATTTTTTACTTATCTCATTAATCCCTCTTAATTTCTGTTATTTGCATCACTTGTAAGGAAACTATCTTTCAAGAAAACCTGGTAACAGTTTTAGGAAACACAGTACTCCTGCAGGAGCCCAAACCTTAGTACAGAATGAAATACATGAAAGAAATTAATCTGTGCAGAAGTCCCATTTAACTGTGTATTAGACTTATTCTACTTCTTTTCCCCCAGATAATTCCTTACTTTGCTAAGTGTGGGTATGACTCCCCAAGGCCTACAGAAAACCTAACAAACTGCATGCAGATGAAAGCCAGTGGTTAGTTGAATATTTATCATTCTTGAGTCAATATTCAATGCAAAAAACTAAACAGAAACTGCTCAGTGTTTTCTGTTGTATTATGTATCATGTATATTCAGCAGATTTTCCCCTATATGTTTGCAAAAATCTGGGAAAATAAATGGTTTGATATACAGATATTTGAATGTCAAAATCCCGTTATAAAGCAGATACCTTTGGTTTTAGATGACTTTATGTATACCGGCCTTGGCAAATTTTGCCTTTCATCTTCCTCCTCTTAAACGGTGAAGTTTTATGCTTAATACAGTAATGCTGCAATTCAAGAATTAGTTATTTTGTAACTGTTGCTCATGGTAAAACTCTAAACAAAAGGGAAAAGAGGAGAATAACTGATGGGACATCAGTGGGCAGGAGGAGGTATGTTCCAGAATCACGGGATGAGCTTGCGGGGAGCAGATTAAGAATGATATGTCTTGTTTCCTTGCAAGTAGGGAAGAAAATTAAATAACTTGGTCAACAGCTGTGCAGTTCTCAATGTTAATGATTATTAACCATTTTGCATTACCTTTTAGCACAATTTCTCTTCCATGTACAGACATTGGAAATGCTCATTTCAATAGTTCATTAACAGCTTTTTCATCTGTGCAAGACTTGTTTCAAAGTGATTGTTCTTTCTCTTTTAGAGATCCTTACAATCAATTCAGCTGGAAGATTTGCGTGTTTTCTTCTTGCTGCTCTACTGCTCTCTATTATTGCTGCGGTAGCTTGCATCATCACAGATCACTGTAAGTTCTCACTTTTTTGAACTTTAGTATTTCTGTACTTTGTGTTGAGTTTTGCTGCAAGCATCCTTTTAGATAAGATCATATGAAAGAGACTACCTTTTAGGTATCATTGTAATATAAACTCTCTCAAATTTGTTGAGGAAACTGCAGATGTGGCTACATTGATGTTTTAGTTTAAATATTATTGTGCTTTTGAAGGGAACTTCACCCCCACTGGCCCCACTACAGTTTGGTTTGTATTGCAGGGTGGTTGAGGAGTGCAGCCCTGATTTTCTCGGATGAAATCAAACTGGAAGCTGTGCTCTAATGAATCTAACATAGTCCAACCACTAATTGCAGTAACTCCCCTGAAATACTTAGTGCAGAAATCTGTTCCTTGGCCGCAATAGTTTTGCTCTATAGTCTCTGCCATTCTACCACACTGTTAATGTTAGGCCTAGCCTTTTTCCTTCTGTTTTTTTTTTTCCTAAATGGAGAGTAAATATTTAATCTCTTAAACACTTGTAAAAACAGGGAATCATTTAGTGTGTGGGCAATTTTTGGTTTGCCCTTTCCTCTTTAGCAAACATCATGGGGACATGTGAGTATTTTGCTGTTTAATTTGTTTAGCACTTTTTTTCACAGTATTAGTGTTGCAGAATGACTTACAGATAAGTGCCATGCCTCTGCTACTCTCTTTTCATCAGTCTGTAAGCAAAGCTGCTCCCTTGGTGTAGCAGACCTTAAACTTTTCTAGCTACTGAACACTGTTTTGCTAAATTATTTTCAACATACTTGGAGAGATGAAGTACAGATAAGTTGTCTATGTTGGATCTATTTCATCATGAAGATGGGAATCTGAGCTCTAAATTCTAATTTTAGTTCACTATTTTTGCTCTCCATACTTTCGTACAAAGGTATCTAATTTTTTCTAGGAAAAAATAAAAGGGACAGAGTCAATCCCTCCATACGAATTTAGAACGCTATTCAAATTTTATTGTTTCTAGAAATACTGCATTTTAAGAGAGCATATGGTGTCTTTTTTGTTAAACAGATTCATTTAGAAAGTGATTCCTCCATCAGGTGCAGCTACAACTATGTGTTACAAGTACTGGTTACATATCCAGAAGTGTTTTCATCACGCTGTCCTTTCTTTTGCTGAACTGCATGAAGGCTGCCAGAATGATGTTGTTTTAGATGTGGGAGAAAAGGAAAATTGCTGAAAAAGGTCTTGTACAATGGCTTCCTGCTCAAAAAGCAGCAGCAGGTAGGGTTTGAACTGAGGAAAAGCACCCTACCACTGCTGCATGTGATGTTTCTTTTAAAAGCATGAGAAACCACAATAACAAAAGCATATTAAAGTGACATGACAAATCAGCCCTCTGTACAAAAATATATGGTGGTTTCATTCAATGAGGTGACTTCACAAGACACTTCTGTCCAAAATACTGTCTTATGAAGGACATTGAGATCTTCTGCAGAGACCTTCCTGTTTCATGCAATGATGTGCATGGCAAGAAGTTGCAAATTAACAGGTGTCTGGACATTGAGCTCTAGTGTCACGAAACTGAGGACAAAAGGATCAATAGCTGAACAAACAGTAGGGCACTGTAGCTACTGCGCCAGATTTAATACGAGCTTACTTACTTGAAATAAATCCTGAACAAAACACATTCTAAGTTGTTATTAATTATAAGAAATTTGTGCTCAAATAAAGCTATCAAGAATGTAATCATTGTGTGCAGTAAAATACTTTCAGGTAAGACTACAGCATAATTTGGGTGGAAATATCCTTTCTCTTTAGAACTTTTAATGAAAGCAGATTTAAAGGAAGCCCGTTCTTTCTCATGTGCTTTGCAGAACCTATATTCATTGATCTTTGATATTTATTATACTGTTAGAAGTGTTTTAATAGTTTTAATCTGGATTGTAATTGCAGATATGCATTTGAGGGTGGCAGGACCCTTCAATACAGAAGAAAAAACCCACCAGATAGCACTTCTGCAACTAAGGATTATTTGGTGGGAGAAAAAGTGCATGTGCCTGTACCATAGGATTGAGGTTGGTGTTGACTATATAAAAGATCATCTAGTTCTTTTGGCTGTATTATATTGGATTTTTTAAATAGGGAAATGAGTGGATAACTACCATGGATAATGAGAAGCTAACAGGAGCTTTTGATGATGAGAACAGGTAAGAAGAAACACTCCACTGTCAAATTCTTAAGTCTTTCCACTGAATAATATAATTTATTATATAAGCAAAATACCAACAGCAACTGTAGATTGGGTTCTCCATTTCACTTTTTCCATGATGATCACTTATATAACAATTTCATCTCCTGGTAACATTAGGGTAGGAATCAGAATAATGCATTAAACCCCCGGCCTGCACTCTTCAGCTATTGCTTCTGTGTACATGTGTCTGGAATGAATCTTGGCTTAACATCTGCCACATCAGTATTTTATACCTCAAATTCCCACATTGTGCAATGTTAATATACATGACATATAATATAAATGTAGTGAACATGGAGATGACTGATATTCGGTACACAGAATTCTATACATACAATTAAAAAGATTAAGTATAGAAATGCTGAAGTAATGTGCATTCAGTAAGTTCTTTCTGCACCATTTTTGGAAAATTTTTTAATAAAATACAAAAATATCTATCAGCAGAAGATCAGTACATCTGCACTGGAAAAAAGGGGTATTTGGGGAGAGGAATCCTCAATTAAGCAAGCTCCACTGTAAACACATTACCACATGTAAACATTACCATACAAATGCAGCTCGTTCTCTTAACATTCTGACACCAAAGCGCTGCCATTCTCGCTGATATATCCACAGCTCCTGAGTTGTATCAAGGCAGGCTAAAACTGCACCTCCTTTCCATGCAATTAAGCGGGGATCCATATCCTAAATTCAAAACATAGATTGTACACAATCACTGGTCTAATTTTGCACAGTTCTCAAAAGTTGTATCCTAATTTTTCCAACAGTATTCACCACTTAGAATCCTGGCGGGGGGGGAAGGGAAGTTTTTCCAAATTATTCAGGAAAAAATAGTGAGATAGAAATATGGAAAGAATATTTAAGATGTTTTGAGAAGTCACTTTTATTTTTTTTTAAGATGCCTTCTAGGCACGTCATGAAATCCTGCCTTCAGCCATGGAGGCTACGAAAAATACTTAAGTTTTGATTTTACAAATTTTTTGTGATTAATGCCAAATGGAAGTTGCTCTTTTAATGCTATACTTTTTTTTTTAACCTTAATAATAAGAAAAAAAACATAACACAATTTCTTGCTGAGCAGACAGGTTAACATCATGGGCCAGGACTAACTGATTCTTTAAGAATATGTCCTTTAGCTAACAAACACCTCAGTGATCAATACTAGTAACACTCTTGCTATACCTTAAACTTCCTGCCTACAACTGAAGAGTGCTATGTTACGAGCTGAAAGCTCTCCTAAATCTCCTCTGATATTCAATTAATCTGTGGTTTTGAAAGAATATATATTTTTTAATCTTTCAAAGATTCAAACCAATCATAGTTTATTAACCATTTAGCTATCAGTTAACATATACCTTAGGTCTTGTGATGACTTCAACATTTTCAACAACTCTTCTGAAAGAAGGTGGCATTTTGTTGAGAATTCGATGTTGAAGAAACTCTTGAGCTTTATGAAACATGAGGCCTCCTCCCACTACTAAGATGGAGCTGTACATCTTCTTTTTTGTATCATCTGATGCTGGAATGAATGGATACACAGAAATAGATCTGTTTTTAAAAGTGAATATAGTCTGTATTTGAATTATAAGAATTCAGTGTAATTCAAACCACAGAGAAACAGTTACCTGTTTGCTTTTAAAATTCTTTTTCTATTCCTTGGAGATTCAAAAAGTTGCAAGTATAAGCTACAGTGTAGCTACTCTAGAGATGATAAAACTTAGGGACATGCGTCTTTCTTTGGTAAAATGCAGGATTTACCATAAATCCACACTGACATGCATATTTTACAGAATTGTACAAATGTAATTCTTACCACAGCAGTCGATACTATGAAGAATGGCTTTGTCAAGGCCCAAGGCTTTGCCTTCAAACTGAGAAATAGCTGTTTTCCTGGACATGTGTGCAGTTAAAGGTTCCTCTGAATCGTTTCCAGATATTATACAATCACTCTGGGAAGATCCTAGCTCCACTTCTTGTGGGTAGAGCCTCTCCGAAATGTCTGAGCCTTGGCCTCTCAAGTCTCCCTCAAACGCACCAGGCTTCGACATAGATTTCCTATCGGCTGTAGCTTTTGCAGACTTAAAAATGAGAAAACAAGTTGAACTATGAAAAATGCAAAGAGATCTCTAACAGGTTACAGAACAATACTGACTTAGTTAAGGAACACTGTACTTCTCTACACCTTTTTGCACAGAAAAGTTAAATATAGCATTATTTCCTCATATAATTTTCATTTTAATTCCCACTTTCAAAGTAAGCTGTATCAATGCCGTAATATGAAGCCTTCTTAGACTCTGAAAATAAACAGTTCCAATTAAGGACTTGTCTAAACATTTGTAATTCCTTAGTCTAAATTTGTTCTTTAATGCTTCTGACCCAGAGAACAAACTTTGGTCTCTCAGATGAGATAAGAGTCCTGATTTTATTCCCCAATTAAATAATACTTAAATGAAAAATAAAACAAGCATTCACACACCTGCTCCTGCTTACTTTGTGTGGCTAGCAGATAATGTTCATCATGAGGATCCTCAGGGTCACCTTGTGACCTGTGTTGCAAAGTTGTCATTTTTTGTCCAACAATTCCAAAAGTTGCTGGATAAAACAGAGCCATTGGAGCCTGAAGAATGAGAGATTTGGCATGGTTTTACAATACAGTTTTTCTTTTTTTTGTGTTTGCTATAAAAAAAGAAAAAGCTTGTTCTGGTTTTCTAACAATTCAGAATTAAATATAAATTTTTTCAAATAGTTTTATAAAAGGCTAAAGTGTCTTCAGCTTTGTATAACTTAAAAAAACCGTAACAAATACACTTGTACATGTATCTAAGTTTCCTTACAGATTCTGGCATTATATGGTAAGTACTCAACTGCAGTTTGTTACAAAATTAGAAAATTCAATTGGGAGTTGAAAAACTTGCAAGATTAGCATTCATTACTGGCACGTGAAGGATAAATATGATCATATTTAGTTGAAGCTACAACCCTTCTGGCTAAAGCTAGTTAGGAAGTCTTGTGCTGCACTAGGCCCATTCATACATTTAAGAATTAATTTTAAAACTATCAATCAACAAGCATATGTTAAGAACAATCCACAAATCACATGGGCTTAGCAGCAGTGGGCCGATACCAAGTGAGGCCCTGAACCTCAATGCTGAATGTAATTCTTGTATTTTTAAAAAAAAATCACCTGTAATTTTTCATCCCCTAAGCGGAACTGGTATAATAAAGCTGGAGAATCTGGATGCCGGATTTGGAATTCATGATCTTGCAGTCCAGAAATATCCTAAGGTCAAAAAGAATGTAAACAAAAAATATTTATCTTTAATCTATTTAAACTGTAGGAAACAACAAAAAGTAACAAAACTCTTGACTATGAATTTCATTTACCTATTTTGAATTCTTTTTGAAGTCTTTTCCCCGTAGCATGATCTGCCAAAACAGCTTTCTACATGCCTAAGCCTCTAAAATGAGGGTTTGTGCAGGAAGAAAAGACCTGCTGGCAGATCTTACAAAATTGAAGTTGAAAACTAGCAAATATGCAGCTACTATCAGCTTCTTTCAGTAGTATGAACAAAGAAACTACCTTTCAAAGAGTTGGGATTCCTTTCAACAAGAAGAAAAATAAAACAAGTTAGAAATACTTCAAGTGTCAGGCTTCTCCAGCTTTTGCCAGTATTCTGCTGAGTAAAGTATTATATTTCATCCCCTTTACAAGCAATTGTACTCACAAAAAAGGTTCCCTGGAGTAGCATTCTGTAATTAAAAAAAAAAAAAAAATTACCTGGAGAATACACTATTTTTTCCCTTCTCACCTGGTCTAGATGACAAAATGTCTCCTTTAGGTGCTGAAGCAGCAGGCAATCCAACTTATTAGTTAACTGACAGTCTCTGTATGGGAATCCTGCTCGTTGCATAAGCCAGTAAAAACACCTTGACACATCAGATCCTCCATATGCAAGGCACAGCCTAAAGCACAGAGAAGAAAAAGGAAAAAGATTATTTTATTTGTTGAAATACTGATCTTCTACAGTAGCATGCATAGGAATACATGGAACATTTTAGACATGCTGTGATCATGACTTCCACATAGTTTGCAGAGCACAGTATTGGTTCTGCCTGTTTCCTTCTTTTAAAGATATCAGAATTCTTTAAGGTTCATATTGTAACATGATGACCATGTTACACGGCTCTCAGTAAAAAAAACGCTGTACTTAGAGAAATTTTTTCTTGTTTTTAAAGTCAAGTGTTTGGTAAACAACTAAGTACATGCTTGTAATAATTCTGCATATTAAAAGATACCTGGTGTTGCGATGGGAAACACCATCTTCTACACAGCAAACACTTGTCTTCTGATCGCCCACATCTACTATACACGCGCTGCTTAAACCGCTTCCAAAAGTAGCACAGACAGACTCCTGGTGTACAACAATTCCTAGCCGCACAAAGAGAAAATATATCCAATTTATGCCAAGCTCCAGAGCCATGTTGCTGCTGACATTTAAAACACATCTTAATGTCTTTTAAAATCTACTAACAGGCTGACTCTGAGCTAAAAGTTTGTATATTTAGTGAAGATGGGGTGGGAAGGACTTACAGATTTTTTTTGTTGGGTAGGCCCTTAAAGTCCTAAGAAAAGCTAAGAGCGGGGTGAATGCCTGTATTCAAATGTTCTTACTTTTTGCAAGTTTAAGGATATTGCCTCCAGACTTTACTTGTTTTTGTAACCAGTATTGCAGGGTCTTGGTTATCAGATGTACATGAAGCACTTTCCTAATTTTTTTCTAATTTTAATCAGGTATCATTACTATTAGCATTTTAGATATGTCCTTTAAATAGTTATAAAACAAGGTCCAATTTAACTGTCTGCTTTCCTTCCAAGCCACCTTTAACTCTGTAAAAGAGCACCTTTGTATCACAAGCCCATACTTAAACCTGAGAAGTATTTATTGCATGCTCAGTCTATCCTTCTAGCCAATGAAGGAAGGAATAGCTAAATTGAGCTGTACTCCGTAAAAAACTAAGTAAAATTACTATTTTAAAGGCAAATGTTTTTAAATAGATTAAGATAATTTAGTTATGCTGTATAATTAGTTCAGCTCTTTACCAAGTTATTATTTAGGAAATGGTGCTCTGAAGAGTTAATGATAGTTTCTGATTTTCACTTTCATGTATCAGATGAATATGAAGCTTTGTACCTTCTTCTTAGTATTCTTCCTGTTCCTCTGAAGCTAACACATTCCAACTGCAAATTCCTCTATCCTAGTGCCAGTACATTTTTTATATCATACTATTATTAGGTACTGTTCAACATTACTTCATCATAAAAACTGATGAGGAATCAAACAAAGAATGATTTAGAACCATTCTGGTCAAAAACTAAAACTAACAGCCAATATGGCTTGTTCCTTTTAACATGATGAAACAAATCAAATATCTATATATGTGTGTGTGTATATATATATATGCATGTGAACAAAACTTAGATCTCATGACATCAGTCTCTCTTTTTGTAGTGTTTATCTACCACCTACTTAATCCTTTCAGATGGGAAGTCTCTTTTTTTTTTTGATAAAATGAAGTGTCTTTATTAGATACAGGAGAGGCTAAACAAGTTCACTATTCAAGTAATAGTATCTAAACACATAGTCTGCTGAGAGTTAGGCTTGGCAACTGTTTGCACTTTGTACTGGTTAATTATTGAACAACAGCAGTATTAATCTCCAACATCTTACAATGAACTTGCTGTTTGACTAGTCTCTATCATTTAATTTATTATTCTTGTCCATTTTTTAAGCCTCTTTCCTTGCATACCTAATACAGAAAAGGCCTCTGCAGCACCAAAGGTACTAGTACTCTGATGTATTTCAAATTAAGTATGCTCCACATGGTTGGGTTACTGTGCCTTCTGTAATGACTTGCTGTGTTTTCTTTAAATGTGAAATCAGAGAAAGATGGCTAAGACTACAGCAGTTCTTTCCAGAAGACTAGCCAGAAACTTCCAGCAGTTTAACTGAAAGGAAACTGCATTACTTTTTTTTTCATCAGAGGGCTTTCCAGTCTAAAAATAAATATGCAGAAGAAGCTAACAATTACTTGGTTATTTTTTAAGAATTGCATTGCTCTTCTATATTTAGCATATGCACTTAAGCAACTCTGAAACCTCCTATTATGTCATTCTGTAGAGAAGACAATAGCAGCATCTTGCATCATATATTTTTGTTCTGAAGTCTGCGAATCTTAATACTCAGTAGAGTTAACTGTGCATTTTAGAAATACTTGACAAATCAGACCACTGCTACTTTCACCTCAGCTGAAGCGAGCAGCCCATGGCTGGAATACCTAAGAGCAAGCCAAGGAACTGTTTCAATGCTAGCCAACCATTTTGCCTCACTAAAAGACAGGTAATTCCCAACAGTTATGCGAATAGCAGATGAGAGGTGCTAGTCCCAGCCAAACTGGGATTGATGTGCAAGAATGTGCTTTAAAGGAAATAAAAAAATCTTTACGCTATCTTGCTTATATATGTTTTTACCTGAGAAGCCCATCTTCATTAGGATCATATTCACTAGTTCTTTCACGTGTTGTTTATTATAGATGTCTGGAATTAGTAAAATGCATCTGTAGTACTGAAGATAACAACAGAAAATTAAAGCCAGCTTTCAAATTAAGTTTCTCTTTATATTCTTGAATACCTGATGCTAAGGAAGAAAGCATAATATACAAATTATTCAAAGAAGCAAAATTATGGAAAGGGGAAAGGTTTTTTTCTAATTTGAAAAATGAGTTCAGAGTAAATACCAAGTGAAGTTTATAGGCTGCTAAAATGTTTAAAAATACGTCAGATATGAGAAAAACACCAATTCTGCAAGGAGAAGAAATTCATGCAAGTATTAGGCAACCACTCCTCAGTTGCCTCATTTTTAGTCAACACAACAAAAAACCAACCCCAGGTGGACTGTGAAATTTCTATAGTGGGATTTACAAACCTCCTTGTTAGAAGTTCTGTTAACAATTTTTGTCTCAAAGACATGCACAAAATTCCAAGTGAAGTCTTAGGAACCATGCTCATTAGCAGAAAGAACTTATTCATTATGAAAACTACCAGCAAGAGGCTACCAACAACAGCCGGTTGCTTCCCTTTTACAATAACGTTTACAGAAGTGGATACAACCCATGTGAATGTGTTCACAGCTCACCTTTAGGTCTTTCAGTGGTATTTCCAGATATTTTTGTATTGCATGTGACCATATAACCTCAAGGTCTGCTAATACTGCAGTGAGGGAGCCACCAGGTCCTGTGTGGAGATTCAACTGCCCTCTTCTAATAGGCCAGTGTATATCATAAGAATCCAGTGGATTAACATACAGTGCCTGAAAATAAGAGACAATGTTCTATGTATTGTTTTTCCCAAAAGATTAGTAACAATTGCTAGCAAAGTATTTCAGAAGCAGGTACAAGAAGACATACAGCAGCACTCAGACCAATGTGACAGTAATACAGTGGATTTCTTTTTAATGTATGTCAATATGCCATATATGATTATAAAGCATTAAAATAGTATTAAAAAGACATTAAATATATGGTTTAAATTGTTTGAATTTTCATATTCATGGACATCTACTATGAACATAACAGTATACTTTTCCATTATTTCAAATTAGTAACTAAAATAATTTAAAGACTCTCTGAAACTCATGAATACCTAGTTACTCAGCAGTAATTCCACATACTGCGCCTTTTATCAGTTTCTTGCCTTTTCTCTGAAGTATACCACATGGGCAAAGTTCTCACCTAGTCCCTGCAGAAACATTGATTTATAGCAGCAAAGGATCAAGGTTACTTGCTAGGCAAATGGGGGAGACTGGCTGGTCTTGCTGAATAATAATAAATATTCAGTTAGTCCATGGCAAAGCTTCTCATTTATTGCTTGACTAAATGTATATGCCTTTCAATACAGACTAACATATAGCAAACTGCTACTGATTACATAACCACATTAAAACATAATAGTAAGCCTCATTTCAGCAGAAAATGAATCTTACCTCTTCTCCTACCAAAAATTCAGGATGATTTGATGTGTTTGTCCACTTGGCCCCAGAGCTGTGATCTAAAATAGCTGGACGCATCTGTCTGTTGTATGACCTGGCCTGAAATGTAATCAAAACAAATGCAGTTGACAAATACTTTACCAGTCACTTTTTATGCACCCCCCCTGCCCTTGAAGAACCATTTTAAATCTTCATTTTCTCGGATCTTCAGAGTTAGGTCACACGACAGCACTATCCATATTTGCTGTATAAAGGGTATCTATTCTCCACTAAAATATGGCATCACACCAAATGACTGTATGAATGAACAATTTCATAAAAATCTTAAGAACGAGTTACCTGATCAGGTGACACTGGTATACGCCTTGCACCATTTGACATCTTTTTGGACCATATTGCTTGGTCCACCATTTTAAGTCCATTTTGTCTCTGCTCAGTACTTTCAGGTTTCTAAACAAAACCCAAACATACGCAATGTAAATACTTACTTTTCTAGCTACATGTCTGTATGCTGGTAATTATGGAGCTACTATTAAACAATAAAATCATTACTGTAGTTGATAGACGGTAGAAAGGACAGAAGGTTTGCACATCGTACAATGAACACATGCTTATTTTTAAAGAAACTTTTTTATATTAAAGTTACGAACACCTATTTGTCTAAGTCAACTTGAATCTTTTAACTGATTGTAATGGCTGCTGTACTTCATCTCTAGAGTGATGAGCTCAGGACATTATTTAACTACAGAAATATTATGTGGGAGCAAAAATGTTTAAATAGCTCTCAATTATTTAATGGTGAGGTTTAATATTAATGACAATAATTTAATGATTTTTTGTACAGATTCAAAGTAAGAATAAGAACACTAAATATATTTTTTGAGCAAGCTAGACTAAAATTACTGGCTATGTTATCCAAGTTACAAGCCAACTTGTAACAAACACATTCACAGATGGAGCAGTCCAATTCTAGTTCTACAGTTGTCATCTATAAACAGAAATAACGTGAGTGATACCAGACTACAGAGCAGAGCAATCAGTGCGTACAAACCCTCAACCTATCCATTTATGAGAGTTAGTTCACTGCAAACAAATCAAATAAGGCCCTAACACAGACTGGTACAAATCTAGTGACTTCAGTAAGCTGATCTACAGCACATTAAAAAGGAAAAAAAGTTCGTCTTGAGAGGTATTTCTCTGGGAAAACATAATGCATGAGAGGAAGATAGGCATTACACAACAACAAATGCAAGAGAATCACGGCGTTAAAACATCCATTTTAGCAA